GGGGGGGTGGTTTTACATACAACCTGATCATCCTAAGGAAACTATGTTGATTTTGTAGAAACTGTTGAGCTTGTTCAGTTTAACCAGTTTGGGTGCACTTCACCACAATACATGATGCAAAGAACTGTTTTCACTGAAAGCTAGTGTAACCTGCCATCCCAAATTTGATGCTGAATTTCTGTTACCTGGGAAACTCATTGTATAACTTTTATCTTTTTTAGTTACCTTTCAGTTAAAATAAAATTATAAAGGGCGCTATTTTAATGTTTAAGTAGCATATCTCCACTTTCTGCATTTATATTTATTAATTAAAGAATTAATTTATTCCTACTTAAATTTATTGCAATAGATTTCACAACCAAAATTGAATAACAGAAGGAAATGGAGGGGTTAGATGCAGTCCAGTGAGAATAAAAATTTGATCCGTTGCCCTATCTCATTCCTCTGTTGAAATATGGTCTAGCCACAGCTAGAACATCATTTAAAAGAATGGAAATTTTGCCTGCCTTTTTAAGAGCTATGTGTTGCTAGAAACTCATGCTCTAGAAGTACAAAGCAGCCCAACCTTGCCTTATTTCAACTTGAAGAATACAGTAGAATATTGTGATGTTTTTAATCAGCAAAAGCAACACACAAAGGTTTGTGTACCCAGTGCTTGCCTTGTGCCTGCTGGATAACATTCCCCCAGCCCTCGGAGGGCCAGCACCAGTCAGCACAGGTGCTGTTTTGACAACTTGGACACCTCTGCAAATGAGGCTGCTTCCCAGCTCCCGGGCAGCACGGCTACTGCGCTTCCCCATATGCCTGGTATTAGTTCTGATGAGACAAATGGCCATCCTCGTGTGCAGAACAACAGTTCCCAGCAGCCTCGCCTCCCCAGGCAGGTATGTCACTCACCCTGGAGCGGGGTGCTTTGGGGCAGCAGCGGTAGGGGCTGTACCGTCCTTCCAGGAATTATCTTAGGGTGCTGGAGAAGGTGATGGAATGGCATTTGGAAACACAGTTTCCATAGATACTGATCTCCTGTGGCAATAATTCCAGGAGTGATGCTTGAGTGCGCTGGGCAGGAGGAGAGCACTGGCAGGTACCCGTGGAAGTGCTGGTGCAGTTGCACAGGCAGGTGTAAGGGTGTGCAGAGTAACCAGCTCGGCTCTCCCTGGCTCTGAGCCAGCCCCAAGCCCCCCATCATGGGGTGTCCCCTGCCCAGGACCTGCCCCAGGGTGAGAAGGGCAGATTGATCTGGCAAATGGGTGTGAGTGCTGTGGGGAAGAGGCTCTGAGCTGTCAGGGGTTATTGCGTGCGTGGGGAGGACCGGCAGTAACAACTGGGTTTCAGTGCTCTGGCACTGTGGTTGCAAACACTTTTTCTTTTTTCCCCACTGTTTGCAATGAGACTTTTTAATAATGGCAAACTCCTTAATATCAAGACCAGTTTTGAATCTAGACCTCTACCATAAAATGCTTTGTTTTAGTGACTGTGATATTTTGGTTTGGTACTTGCCCTACCTATTTTGGTGACTAAATAAAAAAATGATCCAGCTTTGAGGGTGTGCAGGGCAGGCTTTTTTCTGACATGTGGCTGTAGAGCTAGCAGTGTAGGAGACCCGTGCAGGATGGAGTTGTATTTTAAATCTTTCTTTTGCATGCTAATTTTTTCCTTCTCAGGATCTCAGGCCTCCGTAACGGCCTTTGAGGCCATGGTGACCTCAGCTGCTGCACTAGCCAAAGGCTCCAGCAACTGGGAAGGCTTTTTTTATACCCATCAAAGCACTGCAGGGCTTTTGGTAAAATTAAGCTATATTAAATGAGTCCTGACAGACTTGGACAGTCCTCTTCCTTCCCGTGATCTCTTTGTTGCTTTCTTGTGTTTCCCACAATTGCCCTAGCCCTCATCTCTCTGTGAATGTTGAATTTCAGAGCATGGTGTCCCTGTCGATCCAGCCGTCGGGCTGTACCCTGCATGTGTTCATGGCCTGTGGATGGTGCTGAGTTCAGCACTGGCTGCCCATGGCACGGGGGGCTGCAGTCAGCCCCAGCTGCCCCCGTCTGCGTGCGAGGGGCTAGCCTTAGCAGGAGCAGGGAAGTCATAGGCCTTTTCTGTGTGGGCCCTGCCGACGAGGAGTGCCTGCTGAGCTTGGGTAGGAAAGGGAGAAGATACAGATTGGTTAAAGCGTTATCTGGAAGCCGTAGGAAGAGTGATTAGTCTAGATTGTTGTCTTGATTGGATTTTGGCTCTGTTATTAATATGACCTTTGGTACAAAAATGACGTGAGAAGAGGAAGATTTGGAGGACAGCAAAACACAAGGAAAAGCTCAGAAGGTTTGGTTTTGCCTAGTTAACCTTCCCATTAACAAATAGGCACTTGGGCATGTCTGCCTAGTTAAAAATTAACATCAGATGCATTCTAGCAGGCTTCAACTCTGGCACAAAAACAGGAGCCAGCTGAAAAGGTTTATAATTGGGCCAAATATCTGCATGTCACCAGGGTTTATGGGAAGTTTGGATCTATTGGGAAGTGTGAGCTTTGCCACCTAGGTTGTTTTGTTTCCTAAGACCTGTACATCTCAAGAGAAAACAGAAATTTTGTATCAGTAATCTACGTATTTCCCTTAAATGGTGTAAGGGGTACAGTGATCAGCCCTGGTATCTCTTCTCTTTAAGCTCAGGAAAGCAAATGAGATCTGTCTCTCCAAGGGGCTGCTGGTGCCAGGAGCGCTCAGCGAGCATCGCACCGCTCTCGCTCCCTCACCTGCCACTGTGTTCTGGGGACTACCACAGCCGAGGGGCTTTTAAATAAAAGTCTTGTGCCAGCCTGCTGAGCTGTATTGATAGAAGCCTTGTAGGGGTAGTCAAGTCCAGGGAAGGTACTGGCGGCATCTCTTACTGTCCTTCATTTGTCACAGAAGCTGATGGGAAATCATTCAATTAAAAGGAGTGCAGCAGAATACACAAAATCTCAATATGAGTTTAGGAGAATGAGGGCAGCACATGAAAGGCATGCCAAAGCCCAGCTTTATGAAATGATTTGGTTTTTTTTTCATTTGCACTGATTTCCTAGGTGAAATTAGGTGACTGTCTGGCTAGCATAATGATGATAAGGCTGGGAAACCATACATACTCAAATGACATACGTATAGTTTTAATAAAGGATGAGGGTGACTTGAGGGAGTGCATTAAATTGAGTAATAATTTATTATTTAGAGACCTCTACCCATTTACTCATTTTTTCTGGGAGAATTGGCTCTTCCTCCAAGGTGTAGGCCACTTCTAGAGCAGGGGGGAGAAGGCAGAGGCTGGTGCCTCTGCCACAGTAGCTAGCTGGCAAAGCCAACTTCAGCGACTGCCTGCAGCCGAGTGCCCTGGCTACCTATCCTGTTGTTGAGCTGCTCAATAAACATGCTGGGAGAGGGAGAGGGGGAGAGTTGACAGGGCCTCGCATGTCCTATAGGAATGCACTGCAATTATTTCCAATCACAATTAACCTGATTAGAATAATGGACAGGAAGTGTCCCTCTGTAGCTAATGCAGTTTGGCATCAGCTGACTGAAATCCTTTGATAATTTCTGCACAGATGGCTGAGCTGAAAGCAGCACTTTTTTAATTATTATTTTCATGGTCTCTTGGTAGGCCAAAACCTCGACACCAACAACAGACCTCCCCATTAAGGCGGACGGCGCCAACGTCAACATCACAGCTGCCATTTATGACGAGATCCAACAGGAGATGAAAAGGGCCAAGGTATCTCAAGCTCTGTTTGCCAAAGTGGCTGCCAATAAAAGTCAGGTGAGTGGTAGAGGGGATTTCGTTGTTACGGGGCTTTTTGGGGTTTTGTTTTTAAAGCAAACTCTGGGGTTGAAACTAGACCCATCTCCTCCTCCCACCAATAAAAATACATCTGTTCCTACAATAATAATAATAACAATCTTCATCTCTGGGGAACCTGTCGTGTTTTTGGCTTTTGCCTGCTTAAGTGGTTGCCTTTTCCCTTTTAAAATAGGCTGAGGAAAGGATCAGCTCACAGCCAAGCTTTTTCTCCCTTTTTGTACAAACACCCATGTCTTTTCTCCCTTGTAGTATATAACTTACACCTCTGCTAGTGGGGCAAGGACCTTTCAAAATGATGGTATCCTCCTCATTTGGCAGGTAAAGAAATTGTTTTCTTAAGTGATTAACTGAGGGAAGGCAATGGGAAACCGCATATTAGGCAGGTGTTTCCTTTTTTTTTTGCATGTTGTATGTGCTGCTTACCGTATTGCCATGTGAATAATTCACTTCAGATCCAATCATTTTTACAAAAAGGCATGAGAGGGCACCGCAGTGTGTTCTCCTGGATTAATTTCCACCTTGGGCGTAAAAAATACATGTGGGCAAGCCTAGGTTGGGGTGAAATTCTTCAAGAGAATCCATTAATTTAAAAATTTCATCCAACTCTTTAAAAAAATATAATGCACCAGAAGGGATTTTGTGTAAAGGAGGACAGACAGAATTTTTTGTAGGAAGAGCACCAAGTGGATTGGAGACCATGGGAAGGAATTGCTTACTCAGTGAAAAGGGCTGCTTCTGATCCTGGATTAAATGACTCAGTTGTGGTAGGAGAGGGTATCAGTATGCACACAAAAACGCACAAATGAGTCTGTGACATAGAGAGAGGGGGATAGAAGTATCTAGATGCACGCACTCTGCAAAGTACATACTTTCTTTTCCTCTGTGCAGGGAGACAACATTGTAGTCATTAAAGTAGATGTAAAATAGGAGGTTGAAAGACATACAAACGAAGCATCAAAGGCTATCAAAGCACATACAAGAGCGTTGTCCTTGTTACAGGTATTTGTACCCTGACACATGGAGGTCTGATTCATTTTTCTTTTCTCATTTAATCATTCATTTTCTTTGTGTTTTACTTTCTCTTGTCAGGGTACAAGGGTGACAGTCCTCAACCCCTCTACCCCCCAACAAAATCCCAGGCATAGTATGAAATACATAAAAGGAAAATACCATGGAACCCTCTTAAACTGTTAAATGCATAAAAATCTCATGTACCACATGGCAAAATATAATGAGAACTGGAGCTGTTAAACGAATAAAGCTGTTAAAAGCATAATGCCACTTGGCACAACTACTGTGCATTTAACGGTTTTCCACTGTGTAATAAATGACATATGTGGTAAACGTGCAGTAAATATAAAAACTGCACAATTGATTTTGCAAACGTGCCCCTTATTCTTTACTCCATGCAGATATCAAAGTTCCACCCAGAATCCGGACTGGACAGCTTTTAATAAGGAGCATTTAACACAGACTGAATGCCAGCCTCTCTGAGGTTTGGCTTAAAATTGCCTGCAAGCTTCCTGTCATTATACCCAGAGGCTTCTTGAAATAGAGAGGGACTGAACCACCCAACAATAATTTGGGTGGCTCATCAGCTTTGGTCTGTGCCAGCTTGAGTGCACTTCTCTGGCAGCATTGCACACCGGCACCAAACCAAAAATAAGCTTCGTAGTCTTTCACATGGAAAAAGAACAGGGCAGATTTTGAAAGACAGATGCAAAAGGTTAAGAACAGGATCCACAAATGTTATTTAAAGCAAAGTTACTGCACATAAAGGTTTTGTTTCTTCAGCAGCAGCACATAAAGAAATGTTTCTGAGGCTGATGTTTCTTTTGTTTCACAGCCCTGCCAAAGCAATACTGGCTCCCTGGGATGACCCAGCATTCGCCATGCTGAGATGTCATAGCGCTCTGCTGGAGCATGAAAATGGTTTATGGGGAAACTGGAAGGCAGGGACAGAGAAGCTGTAGCCAAGAACCATAGCGGTATGGGGCCTCCCTCTGCCCCAAAGTCCACCTGCGTGCCTGCCTCCCAGCCTGACTTGGTGTGCCTGTGATGTCCCACCGCTGGCTGGGGTGTCCTGGCCAGGAGGAGTGCCAAAAGCAAGGATACAATTGCTTGTGTAGTGGAGAGCCACTGGCATGGTGGGATGATTGGCGTGTCACCTTATGTCTAGCTTGTCTGAAAACTAGCGATGGGGCTTTCCCAGTGCTTTGTGCAGGCCAGTTGTGCCAGTCACAGGCATTTCTGGTGAAGATGCTGCCGATTTCAGCAGCTGAGTTACATGGTGGGAAGTGCTCATTGAAAACTGCCAATGGCTGCAGAAGAGAGAGATTGAAAGAAGGGAAAAAAGAGCTAGTCTGAGGGTTTGCTTGGACTCTCCGCCAAGGTTCGTTCACTTGCTGTTCTCCACAGGCCTGGCTTGTGTTGCATTGGTTTCCTCTATTATTCCCTCACCCCAGACTACTGAGAGGCTTCCAGTTTGCTAACAAGGCATGTGTTATGTTGGGCACTGCTGTTCTGTCAACAGCAATCCATGGTGCTGTGAGATCTTCACAGTTTTAGCAGCCAGTGAATCTCTGACAGGGCTGTTTTGACATTTTATACACAGGGCTGTATGTCATGTACCCAAGAGAGCATCCAGAGCCAATGGAGGCCTCATTTTGTCTCCTGTCTTCGTACAGGAAGAGTGGTACCCACTGAGAGCAGTTATTGCAAGCAGCATCATCTACTGGTGGAGTTAATTGACCTCTAATTTAACAAGTAGCCATCTTTATTCTTAAGTCATGGCAGTGTCACAACTGAAGGGAAGGGCAGCTGCTAGAAACAAAGGTTACAAATCACAAAGCTCACAAGTCGACATAAATGCAAGGAGCAGGGCCTCATGGAGGTGCCAAGGTAGTATGGTGAGACTTCTTTAAGGGAATCCGTCTTCATAAAGATCTTAAGCCATTTTTAAGGCATTGAGTTATTCATCACTTATTTACCTTAATTCCTTGCAGCTTATAGCTAGACATTTTTAGTCTTGTTTGTGGAGTGCTGTGCAACCCTTTGTATTTTTGAAGGCAGCAGGAGCTGAGGGGCTTGGTGCCCTCCAAACACAACCTCCAAAACTGTCATCCTATTTTAGTTGCCAGCTGTTAGTGATGTACTCACTGGACAGCATGCTTCTCTAGAGGTGCCACCTGCTAGTGCCCTTTGTCCTTTAAATGGCTAAACCTGGGACCTGTATTACCATGTTGGGAGTGTTTCTGAGTGTGGCCGGAACATCAGGATTTGGTTTCCCATCTGTGCTTCAGGCTTTCCTGGTTATTTTTGATTCACAAGGAGATGGGTTTCCAATGTACCAGTTCAGAGAGGTTCAGGTGACCTGTGTGTCTCCACAGCTGTGCAGTGGGACATGGAGAGGCTTTGACCTTGGGTTGCTTTACGTTTGGACTGTTGGTCTTGAAAACTGGCTTCTACATCCGGTTCTGCAACTGCTCTACAGTACGACTTCAGAAAAAACATTTCCCCTGTGAACATGTGCCAGCACTTCTGTAATACTGTGCAGCAGCATCACCCCTCTGACCTCTGCTAGTGAGAGTCCTAGCAGAGGCTGTGCTGTGCTCAGCAGACCTTTTTTTCTTAGTCTGTGTGAAATGAGTTTAAGAATATAGTTCTGTTCATAATAAACAGTCACTATCAAAATAAATAGTGAGCATAGCTGGCTGGAGCCCTTGTTGACGGTCTGAGTCAACAACAAAAGCTTGTATGAGGAGGAGGGCAAAGCTTGTATGAATGCGGAGACCGGACTTCCCACAGTTCTCCCAGGGCAAGAGACTCTCCTGCATCAGGCAGGGGCAGTGTGGGGAAGCAGGGGCATGAGCTGCTGGGGATCTGCCCCAGACAGGGCAAATGGAAGGGTTTGACCTTCACCAGTCCCGTGAAAACAAAAAATAAGCCCTTGAAACTGAAATTCTTCCTCAAGGGACTGGAATTTGTTCCAGTTGCACCACAGTAAAGCAAGAGAGTCCCCATGGAGCAACATTTGAAAAAACGTTAAGCTGGCAAAGCTCAGTCTCTGTTCATATCTTTGCCCGATTTAAAAATTAAAAAAAACACCAAAAAATGAACTTGACCATGTGAGGTGGAGTCTGGGGGCAGAGAAGCCCTTCAGTTGAGGCCCTTCAGGTTAAAAGAAATCCAGGGCTATGGATGGAAATCACTATGACAGTTCCTCACCTTTCCTCTGACTTTTCCTTTTCACCTTGAGATCCCTGCCTCATTGCCAGGATTGTCTGGGAGCATGTTGTCTGGCCAAGGGGGGTGTTAGCCCCACAGTAGGAGCCCACACTAGATGGGTCTCAGCACCATAACCACCTGCCCATGCCTGAGAAGAAAATAGAGGTACTGTGACAGGGCTGAGCAGCACCACTGGGGCAGGATTAGATCTAGAAACCCCTTACTTTGTCCTTCCCTCTCTTTCCTTCCCAACTTATATTCCCTTGTATTCATTTGATATGATAGGATGCCTTCTCTTGCCCTTTTAGCTTATTATAGGTATTTTCTGTGCCATTAAACTAATTAGCTTCCAGTGATGATGAACAACAGCTAGAAAAAACAGCTGGTGGTGAAGATGCATAGCATATATAGTGTGTGCATATAGGGCACTTCTTACTGCTGTGGCATCTCGATGCTTTTATGATGTTGTGAATCTCTACAGCTGAGGCATATCTGCGGTGCTGATATTTTGATGTTGTTACGTGTGGAGGAAATACAGAAAAACATTTCTCTCCTTGACTGAACTTAAATTTCTTTGAACTACCTTTAGATATTAGCTACTTTTTACAGACTTCTGTATGCAGTCACAGTGTGACCCTCGTCCAGGACAGCATCTGCAGCACTATGTTAGCCTCTCAGCAGCTGAGTGAGGCAGGGACATTTGTGGAGCTGGGGCTTTGCTCAGGAAGTCC